TCTTGATTTCCGTAAGTTGAAATAGGCTTTAAGAATAGCTTGTTTTGGCTTTTTTCCAGTGATAAGTAACTAGCTCTGCAAATTCGATGTATAGTAAATCATTGGAACATTTGCTAATAAGATGGTAGAATAAATTAGTTTTTAATTGGGCAAAATAATTGTTTAACCAAATGCTGTGCTTATGTTCTTTCTTGCTATATTTCAATATTTTAATCAAATGAGATTTTTTCAAATTCTTCTCCAGTAATGAAGGAAAGAATTTTTTTTTCATCAGATAAATTAGACCTTGCCATATCTTACTTTCAGGTTTCAAAGGAAAACACAAAATACAAAAGGCACAATAATAGTATAAAATTTAGTACTGCTGGACACCCTCCAGTTCCTCAGATTTTAACTTGCATGGGAAGTTTCTTAAACACTGCATTTCCCATACACTGTAAAAATCAGGCACACTTCTTTGCAACCTCTTATTAATCAGCAGCTTTGAGTCTTTAGCATAGTTGGTTCTTACTTTCCTTTACTACTTTTGTTCTGGGTGTAGGGGCTGGTGAGGCACAGAAGGACTGTAAAAGCACCTGGTCTGCTTGGGAAATAGTTGTTTTATGCATAGGGAATACAAGCAGTTTTTATCAGGGAATTTCTGATACAGTGGACTTGTTAAGTAGGACACCGGATAGAAATTTTATCAGCTCTTGGGAGTGTCAGTTGCTGCAGAGTAATCATTAATATCCCAGAGTAGGTGCAAACATTAGGATTTAGAGCAACTTTTTTCCTAATATGTCTGTTTCTGCTTAAACACCTTCAGTAACAAAGATTCTCATGTACAGAGTCTCCCCAACATATTCTATCTGTCTCTTTTCTTAAGTGTGTGTATTTTGGGCATCTTCTCAAACAAGGGCAACAAATGTCTTACTACAGGATCTTGCTGGTGTGTATTTTGTATATGCTGGAAACTTCAAGCTTGTAAGGTTAGCAAACTAAGGGAATGGGAGTGGCGATGCAGAGAAACAGGCAGAGAGGGAGAGCAACATGGTGTGACTGGTCGGAACTTCACGAAAAAAACTTCAGCACCTGAGCTCCACTAGATACTCTAATTCTTGGCTTTTTATTAATATTATTAGTGTTGTGTACTTCCTGGTTCCCTCCATTGTTCCTAAAACGTAAAGGATTCTAGGTGGTGCATAGGATGCTTTTGTGTTTGTGCATGTCACAAACACATTCTTCTGGAGATTGTTTCTTGAGTTCTAATTTTGAGTTTGTATAGGAAGATTTGAGAGCACAAAAATAAAACTTAGTTCAGCTCTTCTAAAAAAACCAGGAAAATAATTGTGAAATACCACGAGTGAAAATGTTAGCCATATAAAAAATATATTGAGTATAGAGATACATTAATTGCTGGGGAATGAGAGACTAACTTGATGAAGGGAAATGAAGTATTTGATTGCTTTTTCTGTATTGTTGATGTAGAAGCAGTTAACCAGAAGTGACCCATGCTAAGATTAATTTTTAACATATTCTCTAATTCCCTCATGTGTGAAGTTGGATACATTCAAAGTAATGCAGTCTTAAGTTGGTCAAACTGATTTGTGAACCACTGCTGTTTATTTTCTAGCAATTCACTGGGGGTAAGGTGAATCCTAGAGGATTAGACAAGTGCAGAGTGAGAAAAGCTGTAAGAAATTATAGGGAAATATTCCTAGCTTTGGCTCTGTACAAATGTTAGAAGAAGCAGTACTCCTGAACACAGGTGTGTTATTTGTAGGGAACCACAAGGTGATGAAGAAGTGAAGAAGAGTGCGATTGGGTGAGAGTATGGGACAAAGAGCATGAGAAATCTTGAGTTAAGTGTGATAAAAATGGTCTTTTGCATTTGTCAGATGTATCTGGTTCTGATAATTCTGTTTGATAATCTAGCTGGCCTGGCAGGTAAGAGAAGCAGTAGCTGCTGATACAACTGGATTCTGATAAAACTTTTGAGACTGTCCAACTAGAAGGCTTAGTCTACACTGTGTTCCTGAGTTGTGGTCTGCTGGTCACTACTCTCTACCTAGTCCCTTCACAAGAGGGGCAGAATTGTTTTTTTCCTCGGGAGTTCTCAGCTAGGACTTTAAGACGGTAGTCTGAGGAACTAAATACTGACAGTGATCCATCAGTACAAAAGATTGGGAATCATTTGTTAAAGCAATAATTGGCTTAAACCATGATAATTGATTACTGATGACTCAATTAAGACTGCACCTCAGGTGGGGTCCTGCAGAGTTCTCCTTCAGCTTGGATCTCTAACACATTCAAGAATAACTTGGCTGGTGGGATGGAAAGTACACTTAGAAAACAGTTAAGTCATATCAAATGCTTTTAAAGATGGAATTAAAAGTCAAAATTCTCTTGAAATTAGTGTGCCCAAAGTCAACAACGTAGAATTCATTACATCAGTGTAGAGCAATATGTTGTTATAGGGGGGCATAAAAGTTGCATATGAATACAAAACTGGGGAAAACTGGCAAAGCAGAGGTAATGGAGAAGAATATCTGGGGTCAACGAATGTTGAACCAAACATTAGAACTGAATTTTTTGGGGAGGGAGAGAAGAAGCTGGGATCTGTTAATAGGAATGTGGTTTGTAAGATATAATTGTTTTGAGTAACTTAACCTTTTTGAGGTCTCAGCTGAAGTATTGCCTTGTCCAGGCATACTGCTTTAAGAAATGAACAAATTGGAGGGCCCGAGAGGTAACAAGAACGGTCAGTTTTAGAAAGAATACTTATCCAAAAAGGTTCAAGGTGCTAATGTGTACAGTTTGGAAAGAAAAGACAGGGAGTTGAGCTACCTTGGAACAATTTATGAAGGCTCTTTATAAGGAGAATATTCTTGGGAGTAGCTGGAAAAGAAACTGGCTTAACATTTAACAGAATGTGTTGCAGTTCAAGTCAGCAATTTCTCAGCTAGAAGCCAGAATTCTATATAGTGTTCAGACAACGTGAATAAAGTTGCAAGCTTAAGAGTAATACAAATTCCTGCTTTTTTCCCTTAGTATCATAAATCGTTCCATATAATTTTTTTATCCAAATTATCTTGTCTTAGAATTTGATTATTCTTTTAATCACGATCCAAGTTAATAAAATAATAGAGGCTGCTGTTTTTCTTGGGAGATAGAGAATGTAATGATAGTCACCTTGTGTGTTGCTTAGAAGAGTGGTTTAAAGTCAGATTTACAATACTATTTTAGCTTTACCAGTGGAATGGAATAGATATATAAAGATTTAGTGTGCAGGAAGTGTGGTTGTGGAGAAAGCCAAGTTAGATGTAAGATAGTGGTATGATTTTCATATTAAGCATGAAATGTGTAACAAATGCAGGATTTTGATAATATTTCAAGGCTGAACTTTATCACTTGTAGCTGGTTCATTGCTTTATCCAGTCTTAGTGAATCTCCCTTAATTTCCTATGATTCACAGTTTGTGTATGCGTTCACAGGTGCCTTTAATCTTCATTTTTCTCCCCCGACAGTTGATTCAGACTTCATAATACCTCTTTGTTTTTGAGCTTGGAATACTAAATAATTTTGGGAGTGTATCTATGAACAGTTTAGCTGTTGTGAAGCAGATTATTTTTGTTGAAGAACTTTAATTTGCTTGTGTTCATAATTTCTGCTCACTTCTAAATAATTTCTGTTTTTTGCAGTTTTATAAGGATTTCAAATACGTTGAGTTGTAGTACTCAAACCTGATTTTAATTAGCTGAGGAAATGAAAGCCAACAACTTCATAATTCCACTGAATAGTTTTGTTTACCAGGATCTAAAATATCCAGACTTTTGTCCTTACTGCAGAGTTTCTGTTCTCTTAATATCTTCTCGGAATTTAATCTTCGGTCTGAAATTTCTAGGTTTATGTATCCTTTGAGCCTGGTGCTTCATCTTTGCACTGTAGTTGTCACAGAGTACTGCTATATGTTCTTAATGCTACCTTCACTTAGTGCTTTTTTTACTTATGACATAATTTCCAGAATGTGTGATTGAAAATAAAGGGAAAAAACCCTCGAAAATAACTAGGAAATAATGTTATGTATGGCTAAATGGTGGTATTACTGTGTTAAGTGTAGGCAGGGGGTTGTCTGCTGATATTGAAGTTAGCCAACTAAACATGAAATACTTGCTCTATTTGTATACACAACTGAATAAAGGATACAACTTACAAAAAATGACGTGCTTTTGTCATGTCTGTATACACACACATTATATATATATAAAAAATATATCACAAATACAATGTTTTCCAGAAATGTTGCCCATGAAACCTAAAGTGAATATGTAACAAGCCTCAGGTTTTTTTTCTGAAGGAAATGCTATGGCACAGGTATATAAAGAAGAGTTTCTGTAGATGTGGGTGGCCAGCCAGCAGCGTGCTGTCCAGATCGAGCCCACCAGAACAGCACAAAAGGGTGAAAAAGAATGTTTTCTGCAGGCTCCTTAGCTGTAGGCAGGGAGCAAATGAATAGTGGGCCTAGGATCCTTTCCTGAAGGCCCTGTGCCATTATGGGACTGGACCTACACGTGGCACCCAATCAGTCCCGCCACATGGAAGTTGTGTGCATGTCTGGTCATGCAACCAGAATGTGTGTGTTTCTGTGATGTGATGCACATTGTTGGCCTACTGATGAGCATGTCTGGTCGTGTTAGTGGTGAGGGAGGGTGGTTTGTAGTTTCTGTAAGAGCTCATACAACTTAATGAGGAGGAAATTAGGACTACCACTGCCCTAGACTACTGGACGTTAAACTTAAAAACCTATTTTCACCTGAAACCTGTATCCCCCAAAGTATGGGGTCACATAGGTATCTAATGTATGAAAATAGTACTTACCTCATTCTTTAACCTCAGGTATTCAGTGTAGTGTTCTAAACCAATAAACACTTGATGATATTTTAGAGACAGAAATACATCTTGTTAAATTTTAAATTTTGTTTACTTGCTTTTATAGAAATAATCTTTTTCTTTTTTTCCAGTTTAACTTTGTTGGAAGAATCCTTGGGCCCAGAGGACTAACAGCTAAACAGCTTGAGGCAGAAACAGGATGCAAGATAATGGTCCGAGGGAAGGGCTCAATGAGGGACAAAAAGAAGGTAAGCTCTTGAAAGGTAGCATAGTTTCAGATGCATAGTTTTATTTCCTAACAGAGTGTAAGCTCATGTCTCTTTTATTTGTTGTGTTCTTACTATATGCTTTTTCATGATCTAGTGTTTTTTACAGACTTAGTAAGTAACACAACCTACTCTAAAGAAGTTAAATGTGCATGCTCCATAATGGTGCAACTGGGAGTCTAACTAGCAATTATAAAGTATTCTTCAGTAATAACTAACTTTTAATTGCGTCATGTTTCACAAGGTAAAGGTAAAAATTGAAGTTAAATGTATTTTTCTAAGGAAGAGCTGTTAACCTTAAAGGTGTTCTTAATAACTTTCTTGTATTGAAATACCAAAGTAGTGATTTGTGCAAGTAGTGTGGATCGGAAAAAATGTTTAATGTTCTTCTGGCAGTGAGTTCTGTCCGAGTAAACCAAGAAGCACTGTGTTTCTGGATTTGGTTTGTGTTCAGGTGGAGTTGCAATGTAATTAGGGCTGTTCCTTGCCCTGTCCTGTAATATACATGCTCTGCCCATATAAATAAAGAAACTATACTTTAAGGATAGAGCCATCCTGAGTGTCAAGTTGCTCTGGTGGTAACTCCTGGAAGTAATTTCTATTTGCAGGTTTATTTTCTAGCTATTTCCCTCCACCTCTGGTTACTACTGCTGAAGTTGCACCAGCATCTCTTCTGCAGTTTTGAAATGTGCACTTAACAGTACTCTTTAACTCTTTGTTCCCATAAGTATTATTTCTTTTGGTTCTTTCTTTAGAAAACCCCCTCTTTTCCGTATCTGATCAGCTACATAATACATTCTATTGATACATATGTAGCACATAACAATTAAAATAGAAAGCTAATGTCTACCCAGTTAAAAATCTCAGACTTCCCAAAGCTTATGACTGTGTCACTTTCAAACTTCATTTTGATGCCTCTTGTTTTCATAATCTGCTGTAATACTGTCACCACCCTTTTCTCTTATTCTACCTATAGCTATTTGGAATGTTTAGATTTCCACCTTTTGAGCAAAGATCTAACCTATGAGAGTTTTTGGTTGTCTAGGTTCTGTAGAAATAAGAGGGTGATACTGTCTTAAATGCTTGATTTATGAAGGTTTCTTTTTTTAAAACATTATAGTTCTTTGCCTGAATTCATAGAATCATAGAATCATTAAGGTTGGAAAAGACCTCTAAGATCATCGAGTCCAACCGTCAACCCAACACCACCATGCCCACTAAACCATGTCCCTAAGCGCCTCATCTACATGTCTTTTAAATACTTCCAGGGATGGTGACTCAACCACTGCCCTGGGCAGCCTCTTCCAATGTTTAACCACTCTTTCAGTAAAGACATTTTTCCTCATGGCCAATCTAAACCTCCCCTGGCGCAACTTGAGGCCATTTCCTCTCGTCCTATCGCTTGTTACTTGGGAGAAGAGACCGACACCCACCTCGCTACAACCTCCTTTCAGGTAGTTGTAGAGAGCGATGAGGTCTCCCCTCAGCCTCCTTTTCTGCAGGCTAAACAACCCCAGCTCCCTCAGCCGCTCCTCAGAAGACTTGTTCTCCAGACACCTCACCAGCCTCGTTGCCCTTCTCTGGACACGCTCCAACACCTTGACGTCCTTCTTGTAGTGAGGGGCCCAAAACTGAACACAGTATTCGAGGTGCGGCCTCCCCAGTGCCGAGTACAGGGGCACGATCACTTCCCTACTCCTGCTGGTCACACTATTTCTGATACAGGCCAGGATGCCATTGGCCTTCTTGGCCACCTGGGCACGCTGCCGGCTTATGTTCAGCCGGCTGTCAATTCCTTCTACCTCTTGGCTGGGGGGGGACATTTAATGTATGAACGGGTCCTACTGTTATGGGGTTTTAAACTGTAGGTGGGTTAATAGAACTTGTAGAGTTGATATTTTTGTACAGGATTTTGAAATACAGATTTCCTATAACTCGGGGGTGGTAGGAGACATTAACATTTCTGAGTATTAAAATTTCAGCATGCTTCACCCGACATACAAAATTGTGTGGGTGTAGATGCTATATTTTGAAGCGAAGTGTATCGTTGCCAATATGCAAACAATCTTAATTACATACCTTTGTTTGTGACTATTAATAGTAGTCAAACTTTTATATATTCTATTGTATTGTTAAAAAAAAAAAAAGAGATCCTGGGTCAGGAGATTTAGTGAAAATATCGCCTCCCTTTAAGAGTTTGCGAACTTCACCTAGTTTTCATAAGAGAAGACTATTTGATCTGCTCTTGAAAGCTACCACTTTTTGGCTGGTAGATTAATAGGACGTTAAGACTTCTGATTACATGTATAACAAAGTAAATCTTCACTGTGGAATATACTAAAATTTAGCTTGCAACGAATGAATTCTCAGACTATCGATTCTGAAGAGAAGTACGGATACATTAAAAAAGTGAGTACTTAAAAGTTCATTCAACTTTTTTCCTATTTAAACATAGTTTTTAAAAGACATTGTATTTTTATCAATAATACAATTCTTATCTTCATTTATGGGGAGAATTTAAGTTTATTGCTGCTCCCTCTTTGTTTTAGGAATGGTAATTCTAGGTTGGGGTAGTTCATCAGGAGTTAGGTTATATAACTTTGAATAAAAATGTTAGTTCTACTTTATTTATGTTCATAGATATTGTAAGCTAAAACGTAGGCGTCTATTCTTCAGAAAGCTTATAAATATAGATTGAGGCCCCAAGCTTAATGGTCCAGAAATAATGTCTCACTGTTAGTAGTGAATGTATGTATATTTAAGATTGTCATTAACAATGATGCTCTGATACATCCTTAAAAGTTTTGCAGATTGGCTGCAAAGCACACTTAGTTGTGTTAGCAATAGCTCTACTTGCAAACAGCTACAGTAGTGCAAAAAGAAAGAAAAAAACCCTGCATCTGAGGCCTCCATTTTTCTTCTGAAGAGACCCATTTGCAGACCCTTTTGTAGAAAGCATTTAGGAGAGTAAAGATTACTTCAGATTTCTGGAAATTGCTGTGTGTTCCTTGGCCCGCATGTCATAATCCCCTCCCACTCCATCTCTTCCCTGTCCTTCTTGTTCATACTAGCCTGAACAGAAACCGAAGTGGCCCAATGAATTCCACATCAGGTATGGTAGCCATTTTCCAGAGTGTGACTAACAGTGCATTTTTGTTAGAGCTGTACAGCCTTCATTCTTTGAATGCTTTTTATATTAGGTCCCACTGAAGATATGTCCAGCTACCGAAGACGTTCTGTTTCTATGCTATCAGCAGGGTAGGCACTTAGGCATCACCAGCCAGTGTAGTGCATGTGTATGCACCATGTCCTTCGTTACTCTCAGCTGCCAGCTAGGATAAGCACATTTTCTGCAATGCTGTTGGTCACCACCACGTGTTCTGACCTATCCATTCAACAATCATGTAGGTCTTGGAGTTTGTGAAATGTCTGTTAAGAATCACAGAATGGTGGGGGTTGGAAGGGACCTCTGGAGGTTCTCTTGTCTAACACCTCTCCTTAAGCAGGGTCCCCTAGAACAGGTTGCCTAGGACCATGTCCAGACGGCTGTTATGTTTAATGTCCACGACCTCCCACCACTGTGCTTCAGAACCTGTCCTCTCCTGCGGGGAGTTAGCTCTCTATATAGCTTCGGCAGGTTTACTGTCTGGAGAATTGGTATTTTTGGAGTGATTTTCCCCACTGTCCCCGCCTTTTTTTTTTGTAGCTGTTCAAAGAAGAATAGGCAGTGTGAGTTACTGGAGTTTTGTCTTTGAGAAAAAGCTTAGAGGAGCTGAGACCTTCTGAATGAGTCACCTGTTTTTCTGAAGTCTAGTAAGAAAAGGAAAGCTGTCTTCAATGAGGACAAGTTCTGTATGGCAGATCAGCTAGAACTTCGTATGCATTAAAAGCCACAAACTGATCTAGTCAGTGCTTTAATGCCCATTACCTCTTCTAAGTTGTCTGTTGGCTGATATTTTTGGAGCACAGAGTACTTGACCATTGATTTCATGAGATAATGCAGTTAGTGTTGAATATTAAATAGTTTAATATATTTGAATGCTATAATAGTATAACATATTTGAATACCAAATAATATAATACTGCTTGTAAACCAGTGTTGAGTACCAAATAATTTTCTTGATAAAACCTATTTTCATGCCATCCATTCCTAATCTTTCTATAGCTCTTTTGCTCTCCTGAGATGATTGGTATTAGTCAGTAGTTTATCTTTTTCAGACTGGACTTTTTGTTGCTATACCATTGTTGCTTCAGTAGGAAGAATTTCATAATCATTGGTTATGATGCAGTTTGTGATGCATCCCAATAAGATGTTTCTTCTAAAAATAAAGATTTGGAATCTGTATTGAAGACATGATGACCACAAACACACTAAAGTAAGAACGAGTGACGTTTATCAGTTTGGGGAGTAAGCACACGTCCTGCTATTCGCTCTTGCCTCTCTTCCTGATGAATTATACTTAGAGATGAACTTCTTAGTCTTGCAGTGCAAGATGACCAGCTTCCTTGGCAGTCAGTGCCTTTTAATGATAGCCACTTTTTATTTTCACAAGGGGCTTCTCTCTTTGCAGGTTCTACTTCAAAATGCTAATGCACTTAAAAGTGTAAAAGACAGAAGTAATAGTATTCTCTCATGGAAGGTTAGGTTACACTAATTGTTTTTAAAACCCTTTCCTTTCATATAGGGTCAAGGTCATTTAGAAAAGTGAGTATTCAAGATTTTTCCAGTTTTTGACTGAATTGCTTTGAAATTTGGAGGAGATAAGAAATGCAGGTTAATTTGTATGTATATTTTGTAAGTATATCTCAGATCTGCAAACGTGATTGCCCAGTGCTAGTTATAAAAGAAACCTTATTGGATGTGGGAAGGAATTAATTACTAAACTAGTGTCAATCTGTAATGTGACAGCTACATGGTACTAAATACCATCTCCTAGAGTAATCTGTCCATCTACTTTTCTCTTCCTACCTTGCTAGTGGTT